GGAGGGAGGGGCGGACGAATGTGAGAAAGACACATTGATTGGTTGTCTCCCACATGCGCCCCAACTGGGGTCGGGGATGAAGCCTGCAACCGAGGTACATGCCCTTGGCTGAAATCGAAGCCAGGGCCCTTCAGTCCGAGGGCTGCCACTCTAACCACTGAACCACGCCAGCCAGGGCAGTCTTTGGGCTCTTACTAAAGCAATCCTGACCCTGGGGGAAAGTGCTGAGGTGGTGCCTGCACTGACTGGGAGCGGCTCCTCCCCCACCCGTCCACCACGGATACCACTCTGTGAAGACCGAGGGCCATCTCCCCACCGCAACGCAGGGACAGCACCTACCTGCCCACTCCACACCGAAGGAATCAGGAGGCTTGGCTCCATAATCCAATGTAGCATATCGTCCCCCAAAACTCCCCTTCATACATGCCACCCGTGTACTTTCTGAGGAGTGGCACGGAGAGCGCCGGAGCCGTGGGCAGGCACCCGCATCGTCCACCGCGCACCGGCAGCTGAAGGCTCCACTGGGGCCCTTGTCTGTGCTCCAAAAATTCCCCGCCCTCCTCCATCCTAGGACACTGAGGCCCCAGGAGGCTCCACAAACATTCACAAAGGGGGCCGTGGGGCTGGCAAGTATAATAATTGCAGGCAAACAAGGGAGAAGGAACTCTAGGAACATCCTCCCCTCGGCAGGGGCCCCAGTCCAAAGAACTCTGGCTATGCAGCAGCTGCAGACAGCAGGGGCAGGGCCACATCACCTGAGCGCAGGAATGGAAGCGTTTAGGGCTCTGCTGCTCACTGCTCCTTTCTTGGGAAGCACTTTAATCTGAGCCTGGCCTCTGCGTGTAGGAAGGACCCCAGGTCCTCGAGTAACTGAGTGAAGGCCACACAGTTCTCCCTCCCTGTGCTGAGGAAGACCCCTGAACACCATCCTCAGGTGCTTCAGTGGTGAACCCAGGCCAGGTCCAAAGGACTCGACACTGACCGCAGCCCACATGGGACAGAACCCTCTGGGCCACACGCTCCCCACTTCTAATAGGCCCCAACAGACTGTCACCAGGGCACTCAGATGGGGCAATGTGATGTGGCGGCCACGTCTCCCAGCCACAGCACGCCACAGCACTCCCAGGCAGTGCTACGAGGAGGCTGGGTGGGGAAGAGATCAAAGCACGCCTTCCTTCCCCCTCCCTCCCTCCAACAATGTTTACCAAACCTTCCATTCGCCATGAACAGTGGCTTTTAACCAGAGCTGTGCACCAGGTCACAGGACAGCATCTACTTTCCTTTCTGTTTAACGTGGGAGATTTTACACCTTCACAGACAGAGCCACGTGTCCCACAGGCCCCATACAGCGGAACCCCACCCCAACTAGGCCAGTCTTATTTCCTCTCTGCCTCTGCCTGCTTCCCACTCCCTAGCCCCGCCAGATGACCGGGAATCCAAAACGGAGGCATCACCTTTTTTTTTTTTTTAAATCCAAGAAGAGGATTCTGCTGCTGTTTTTGGCAATATAATCACAATACCATCCCATGTAAGTAACTGACTGCATATATTTAATTACATGGAGAAATTACTGTTATTGTCCCAATTTCCCCCAATTACATGCCTCTCTCTGGTTTTTTTGAAGCAGGTATAAAGCCTCCAGCCCCAAGGTTTTGATGAGTGGGGCTGGGTGGGGGAGGCTGGAGACACTGTGTCTTAACAAGTTCCTGAGTCTCAAAGGCAGCTCAGTGTAGAACCCACTGCTTTGGGGAGCCCTCATCAAAAAGCATAGTGCAAGTGAGGAACACGGGCTCGTGCTAACTCCCTGGGACTTTAGATAGAACTGTGGGGCCTAGTCCAGCAGGAGGAAGTATAAAAACACTTGGAAGCAACAGCAGGAAATCAGGAAGGTTTACACAGAGCCAGGGCCTGGGAGCACCAGCCACACCTTGAGGGCAAGAAAAGCCTCCTGGAAGCCATGACACCAACAACAGCTTCAGGTTACCGGAGGAATATGCCCTGCAAAGGACCCAATGGCACCACCCACTGTCCCCTCCCTTACCTGAGGCCTGCCCAGGTGTTCTCAGCCCAGCTGCCAAATTCCCAGCTCGAACCTCTGCCCCACCCCGTGCTGTCTTGGGTAAAGGGGCCCGGAGGTGAGGAGGAGGAGGGAGCATTTTTTGGGAAGCAAAAGAAGCCTGGAGGGCATTTTCGACACGCTGTCAGGATACAGGGCATTCAAGAAGAGATAGTCTTCAGAGAGCCCAAAAGCTGCTCCTTACTTGGAACTCTGAGTCCAGAGGTATGAAAAGCCCACTTTTCAAAACAAATCAGAAACACTAACTGCAAACTCCTCCCACAGGCTTTCCCAGAGCCCCCACTGCTGCTTACAAATGTTTACTTCACCCTCTACCCACTCGCTGTCAGGGACAAGGAGCGGCGACTGTCTTCCCCGGTCTGTCCTCTGCCAGACCCTCCCTCGGACAGACTGAGGGACGGTGCTAAGGGCTCCATCCCCACTCCTGCATGCTGCCTGAGCAGCACCTGAGACAGTGCTGGCGAGATGCAGAGAAAAGTGGGAGAGGGAGAGACGACCCAGGCTCCGGGGCCACGCAGGCAAATCCTGACCCTGCCACCTACCAGTTGTGTGGTCTTGGGCAAAATTCCTTCAGTTCTGTTTCCTCAACTATGAAAAGGCTGCATTAACAGCCTGCCCTCACAACACTGTTAGATATAACACACACGTGCCTCACAGAACTGGCAAATCCCAGGAACTCAGAACAAAACACCAGACACCTTGAATGAAAAACAACTACTACGTTACCCTTGCTATATGATTGCTTCTGTTTAAAATTATGATCGACAACAAAAATAATGATCGAAGACTCAAAATCTTCGAGACATTTCACACAATTTCTAGAAACTGAGCAAGAGGGCAAGACTCCTTTGTGCAAAGAACAACAAAAAACTTGGCTGTTTTCATATCAGCTATAAAATCAGTGGGAAAGAAGCTCTGACAGACACCAGGTCTAAAGAAACAAATACATACGGCAGTCATGAGACCACCGGCCAGAGAGAAGCTGGCAGTATGTCTCCCGCTCTTACTCAGGCTTTTCTTCCCAAACAAGAGATAAATGCCAGCCTGTTCTCCTCTGGCTGGGCCCAGAACAAAGGAGCATGAGGGAGCCAAGAACTGTCTTCACACAGAGATCCCAGAACTTCAAATGCAATACTCACAGCTTACTGAGGCCGTCGAGCCCTGTGAAAGCACCACTGGTGTCTTCTATTGTGCCTGAAATCTCGTTATGGTCCAGATCCCTGGGGAGAAGACAGAAAGGCAGCTCACCACCCTGTCCTCAGCTCATTCTTCAACAAGTGGGAGGACAGACAGTCACCCAAATGCCACCACGAAGCTGAAAGGTGCCCACCTGCGACACAGTCAAGAGAAGCCAGGCTGCTTGAGCCACGGGGAGCCCAGGTTTGCACCCCTTGTGGGGCGGCCTGGCTTCCTCAGCCTCCCCACAGATGGGACACACACCTGAGCAAGCAGCTCCCCACCTCATCTGCTGCTCCCCAGTTGGCTGAGGCGAAGGCCCAGGGAGAGGAGGGTGTGCAGACGGCACACGGAAGCCAGTTTGTGTTCTACCCAAAGAGCAGACATCTGGCCGCTGGCATGAGAATCAGCCCAAAAGGTGACGTAAGGTTCCCACCTGCTCTCACACCAACCTGAGCCCCCTTTCCTTTCATCTTAATTCTTACCCAGGAACAGGCTTATTGATTTTGAGAGAGAGGAGAAGGGAGAGAGAGAGAAAGAGAGAGAGACATCGATGTGAGAGAGAACATGGATTGGCTGTATTCCGTATGTGCCCCGACTGGGGATCGAACCCACAATCTTTCGGTGTATAGGATGATGCTCCACCAACTGAGCAACCTGGCCAGGGCAGGCAAAGCCCCTTCCTGGATCTGACTAAAGGGCACACAGAGGAAAGGGATCGCAACAAAAGAGACCCAGGCACAGGGCCCTTGAGGGGCACCTCCATGCTGGCAAGAGTGGGTTCTAGCCCAGAGCCCCCATCTTCTCACAGGGCCTGCACAGGCCCTGACTCTGAGCCAGGAATGACATCTGGGTGCTGAGTCAGACTTGTGATCCATTTGCCAGGAAGAAGGGGTGAGGCCAACATCTCAGCCCGGCTCCCCCAACAATGCAAATCATAAGGCCATGATTCCTCTTGTTCCTCCGGCTCCCAAAGGCAGGTCATAGCGCCAGGCGAGAAGGCCCACCTGGCGACCGGCCTCCATCTGCCACAGAGCTGGCTCTCCAACTCTCTACCAGGTTGTCAGTACCTCCCCCCTCCTCTGGCAAGCTCCTGTCGACATGGGCCAGGCCCAGAAAGGAGGCTGCCTTGGCACCCAGAGCCTTCAGAAGGATCCGACGGCGCCAGTAGGGGGGAACTCTGACCACAAAGTGAAAAGCTTGCTCTGACCTTTATTTTACAGCAGGAAGCTCAAAGAGGCAAGACTGTGGCTAGAAGGGGTCTCTCTCAGTGGGTCCCCCTATTATCTACATGCTGAGAACTGGGGCCCCGGCAGGAGCTGCACTTTGTGTGCTTGTCTCCAGATCCCAGCCCTAGCTGCCAAAGCTTTGCTCAGCCTGAATGTCCCAGCCTCGTTATTCAAGCCTCGCAGGCTGGAAGGCTGACCTTAGTTTGAATAGCCTGGCGACCAGCTCTTTCACACTCCCCAACAACGGCTCAGCATTGCAGGTCCCCTCCCTCACCAGGTGCAAGTGCCAAGGCCTTCCTCCCTCTGACATGGGAACAGGCTCCCTCTCTGCAGTGAGGCCCTGCTGGAAGGAGGCCTCAGAACCCACCACCACCATGGAAACCATACCCCCTCCTTGAGGACTCTATGCCAACAATTGCCTGAAAGTTCTCTGAAGCCAACAACTGAAAAGTTTTAAGTCCCAGAAAAGCATCCCGTGGCAACTTCTGGCAACTCCACCTAGTTAGAAGCTTGAGGGAAATGACATTATCACCTCCATTTAGTTAAATGACCCCTCCTGAGGCTCCAGGAAAAACACAGGACCCCCTAATTCCCTCTCTTGAAAACGGGCCTCCTGGACACAGGGTCCCCATGAGATGAGCCTCAGCATTCCCTTGGCCCAGACAGAGAGCATACAGGACTTAAAGATGGGAGTGGCAGAGGAAAGACTCAGATGCAGGGGAGGAACCTCAGTGCCCCGCATCCCACATGCGACATGGGAATCAGAGCTCATCAGCCACAGTGTTTCTGAGCCAACATCACTCGACAGGCACCACCCAGGGGGACTAAGGGGCACTTTTCTGCTCAGCTGGGTGTTTTTCAGTTGATTATGAGAAAGTGTGAGACTGCACGCGTAACAGATCAGTTCTGGATCCAATCCTGACTGGCAGCCAGGGGAAAGGGAACTCAGCTGCCTGGCTTATGCAGCCCTCCCAGTGGGAACCCCTCATCCCACCCACCCCACAGTGAGGGACGCACAAGACGCGCAGGTTTCTGAGTCCCTTGAAGGCGCCCTCTGCAATGTGGCTGATGGAGTTGTGGCTGAGGCGCAGGATGCTCAAGCTGCTGAGGTCAGCCAGGCTCTCCTCGTCCAGCCGGGTGAGGTTGTTGAAGGACAGAATCCTGAGGAAGGAAAAGAGAATGCATGTCACTACCAGGCTGCTTGGGGCTGCCCTCTCCTCTCCCGAACATCAGGCCACGGCAGCCAGGTCTCAGTGGGCAGGAACGCACACACAAGAATCCCGAGGGCAGAGTGGCCAGGCAGTTGGAAACCCATCAGGGCCTGACACTCAGACAGCTAGATTCCTGGGATGTTCGTGGAGGTCACGGAGACCAGAAGTATGGTACGTTGAGGACTACATAAAGGTCATGCAATTCAAGAACGCTCAAGGCTCCCCCCCTCATGCTGGTGTCCATGGCCATCCTGATCCAGACTAGGAAAGACTTTTCTCAGCAGGGGCCTGAGACTCCAGCTCAGACAAGGGCCCCAGTGCGCTCACAGGGAGCAGGGGGCCTGGTCAGGCTCTCTACGTCGGCCAGCAGAGGGCACCACTGGCCACCACCTGGACCAAGCCCTCCTCACAAAACTTCCTCCTTACCTGGGCACCACCCTCGAGCACCAGTCTCCTGTCCAGACCTCTAGGGTGACCGCCCCCCTCCACTGTAAGCAGGACACCTTCCCTCAGTGCCAGAATCAGACTGTCCTTCCTCTTAGCACACTTCCTGCCCCTCACACAGCCCTGCCTCGGTTGGTTACTTAGCATGTTAAGTCATCAATCATTGAAAAATGGGAAATTTGGTCTGGGGCAGAAATATGGAAAATAAATTCAGAGAAGATTAATGAGTTCTTAAAGGCAGCAGGGAGTAACATTCTTTCCCTCCTGCAGAAGTCAGTCATGGTGTCTGTCAATCACAAAGACCTGGCAGATCAAAACTACATCCTCACGTGCGGTTAAAGAACTCAGCTTAAAGGAAGGGTGGGAACAAGCTGGAAAGCAGTCCCAAACTTGGCTCCGAGGTTACCTGGCTGCTGGGCAAACTGCTCAGCTGGTGAGGGCACTGCTGCCTCCTCCCCCCTCCCAAGGGCCAAGACGGCAGCCTCACGCTATCCACAGCCTTTCACTACCGCTCAGCCCAGGGCTAGTGCCCCTCCAGCAATGCAGAGGCTGCCCTTCACCTTAGCAGTTGGGCTGGCTCAAGTCTGGGGGACTTAGAAGACCCCTCCTGCTTCCCTGGCTCTCAGATCTGAGTGACAGGAGGCCGTGGGTCCTGAAGTTCCAGAGTGGGGTCACAGCCTGAGCAAGGAGCCTGGCAGGAGCCACCTAGCAACACGTGAGAAGACTGCAGCGGCACTGCCGTGAAGGGTCAGAAGGGTCAGACACAAACCCAGAGCGTTACCACTTGCACACACTCACAGATTCCAAGGAAAGGGAAGGGAAAGGGAAGAGGCAGGACTGATTTCTGCTTCAGGGAATGATGGATTCACTGCGACACAAACTCTAGGTCAGTGCAGGAATCGGGGGAGGGGGGCGATGTGAAAGCAGAGAAGAAAATGCTAGCTGCGGGCTCCGCAGCACATTTCAACATCCCCCAAGTTTGCCCGGTGAGGCCAAGGGAGACCAGACATACAGGGCATGGCACGCACAACATCATTCGCTTCAGCGCGTGGATCTTTCCTTGCAGTCTAGAAAAAAAGAAAACCCACCCAAACTCTTTTTAAAAAAGTAAAGGAACGTACTGGACTAAACAAGAGTTGAGAAACTTCAACATATTAAACTGAAGTAACAAACACAATGAGAATCCACTTATTTCCTCCAAAACAACTGACCATTGAGACGTGGGACAGAAACAGAGAGACATGGGCACGTGCACCCGGCCCCTGCCAAGGCTCTTTCATCACCCGTTACCAGGTGTGCGACTGCCACCAGCCATCCCCAGAAAAGGGCTGTCACTGCTGGTCTCAGGAACCTTGGACACCAGCTCGGGCCTGTCTGGGAGTCTCCCAAAGGGATGAGGGCTGCCTGTCTAAGTAAAGTGTGACTGCAGTCACATCAGCCCAGGGGCCTCACTCCCAGGCCAGGAGACACTGGTGGGAAGGGGAAGGGGAAGGGGAAGGGGCTAGTGTGGGCAGCCTAAGGTCAGGAAGGCAGAACTGCGAGGGCATGTCAATCTCCCACTGTCTGCGTGTCACCGTCTCTCAGGTCCACTGCCCTTTCTGTGTCTGAGCCCAAATAACCCCTTCACTAAGAAGTCCATGTTACCTGTAGCTATTAATGTGCAACAGCTCTCAAAACAGCTGCCAAGAGAACACCCTGTAGGCTACCCTTTGAAAGCAGGGCACTCTACCCCAGGACTTCCTCCAGGCCCAAGAAGGCCCTGGGGCTACCCCTAGGGCACATAGAGAGGGGATCAGGAAGGGGTCAAGCTCAAATCCCTGAGGTCTTCTGGGCCTCTGGGTCCTGCTCGGGGCCTGGGGCCTGCCTCTGAGCCTTGCCCAGGGGAGCCCTCCCCAGTCCACCGTACTGGGGGGATACACCAGGCCTCGAGCTTCCTTGGCTCTGGAGGAGTCCCCTCCAAGCAGTGTCACCAAATGGCACAGAGCAAAGCGGACAACACTCACAGCTCGTGCAGCTTCTGGCAGAAGCTCCAGCCATCACGGTGGATTCGGGAGATAGAGTTGTTGCTGAGATAGAGCTGCTGCAGGGCTGTGAGGCCATAGAGTGAGCCGCTGTTCACTTCCACCAGGCTGTTGTACTCCAGGTGCCTGTAATGACAGCCACACGCAGGATGAAGGCGACAGGTCCCCGGGTCATCCACTCACTGCACAGGCAGCAATGGGGCTGGCAGCAAGGACTAAACACCAAAGATCCACTGGTCAGCACC